TTTATTGTAACTTTGAAAACATGTCCCTCAGTAGAATGAATGCGGCTGTTTTTGAAAACAGCCTACGCAAGTTGAGCTTCACGTGATTTGCACATGCCTGCCCTTCAGTGTGAGTTTACATTCACAGGCTCAGCAGATAAATGTCCCTGCAAAGTATGTGAAAATGTTGGTAGTTATGCAAAATATAAACACAAGCAGATCACACCTTGAAGAATCTGACATCTCGCTTTTTGCTTGTATAAGCACTGTTATCTTCATACGATGTGAGTACAGCAGCCACAATTCCTGGAATATGTATTTCATTGTATACTAGATGCACATTGCTAAGAACAGCCTATGAGAATGCAGCCATCTGATGGCCTGTACAAGGCAAAGACAACTGGCATGGAACCACAAGCGGCAATTCATAACTATCATTGGGTAAGATCATAGCCTGTTGTGAGGAATTCATTCATCTGGGGGCATTATTAACATATTTCTGTGCAACTGTAATTCTATAGAATCTACAAAGTAGCGGACAGGGTCACCAAGCTGCTCATGTGACCGATTTTTGGGCCCCCAATGCAACTGGTCAAAACACCCCTCCCCTCCCACATATTCATGGTGCAATGACTTTCAGCTAGATAGAAGCAATCATGTTAACCTTCCTGGCGGTATGATTATGTCAGGAATTTTGTACCAAAAGCGGTACCATTTTTTTGCATGGAAATTTGGTGTTATGTAATTCTTAGTAATTACTTACTTAATAAATACTCATAAAAAATAATAATATAATAATAATAATAAATTTAATTCAATAATATAATCAAACCAAAAACACTGAAATTTGAAATAGAGCGCCACGTTTGCACATCACTGAGCAAAGTCGCAAAATCGTTTTCAGTGTCTGATGACGAATTTCCCCCATGAATCATTATCACTCAATTCTGCAAGTGGTTCTGATTTACTATCGCTGTTCTCTAACCGGTCTAAAACCGATTTTGACCTAAAGGGACACTTTTTGGACGCCGTGGACATTTCTAAGTTTCCAGGCAGAAAGAACACTCAAAATGCAGGCAGGGCACAGGACAAAGCAGTAGGGACAAAATGTATGTGAAATGCTTTGATACAGGAATGTTTTGCTATGAAATAATCGTTTTTTAAAAAAATGTAATTTTTTTAAAATTTTCAAATTTGCCGCCAGTTCTGGCGCCCGTACGTCCCAATGTCACAGGGACCGGAACACGGAAGCCTGATGCCGGCATCGGCCGGAGGAGATGGCCGGGGACGTGGCAGGGGACACATCGCGGGAGCGAAGGACAAGGTAAGCGCTGTAGGGAATCCCTGTGCAACGCCGCATGGTAAGCCCGAGTGTAGCTTGGGGTTACCGCTTTTGGTACTGAAACTTTACCCCGAGCTACACTCGGGAATACCGCCAGGGAGGTTAATGTCTATGTGACAGTGAAAGTAGGCCATCTGACACACATCTACTGTGAATGGGTCCCTAAAGCCCCATACACACGATGACAATATCGGATGAATGATCGTCCGTTTTTTTTAGCATGCTAGTTTCATTTCGAAAGTGAAGAGGTTACAAAAATTCCTGTACAACAGAAAAAAAGTTCAGAAGTGATGTAACGTATTTGTATTGTATTTTTGGATGAAAACTGTATTGATTAAATGAAAATCGTACAATCTGCTATCGTATGAGAAACATTTTTCGTGCTTGTGTCTTCAAATCATTTCAGGCAAAAGCTATGTACTAATGATCGGATTATCGTACGATCGCTTTGAAAGCGGTATTTTTCATATGATTTTCTGATCGTGTGTACTAGACTTAAGCACCAAGGACCCTTGTTCAGCTTTGCAGTCTACTCAAATGGCAAAGTCACCCCTGCATCCATAATTGCACAGCAGAACAACAGTCACCAGCCTGAAAGCGATTGTCAAGGTTCCGATTTTTTTTTTCAAATAACAAACATGTCATACTTACCTTCTCTGTGTAATGGTTTTTCATAGAGCAGCCCTGATCCTCCTCTTCTCTCCACTGGTGCTCCAGACCCCACCCCCCTGCTGAGTGCCCCCAGAGCAAGCTGGGGCACCCGCACATGATCGCTCACGAGCTGCCTCCGTGTGCCTGAGACAGGGTGTGGCTTGGTTCCGCCCCCTGTTCCTGTCTCACTGGCTGTAATTGACTGGCTGCCAATGGCTCCTGCTGCTGTGTCTCAGCCATTGAGTTGGCAGAGACCCGGGAGAGCTTCTGCTCTCATACACATCACTGGATCGGGGTCAGGTGAGTATAAGGGGGGCTGAGGGGTGGGGAGCTGCACACTGAAGATTTTTTAGAACCACTTTAAAGTGGTTGCAAATTTCAAACATGAAATATGAACAAAGTATACAAGGTGGTATCAAAAAGCTTTGAGACTAGTTTTGTAACAACCCACAGAGAGTCACAAGGAGCACCGACCTTCATAAGTCAGTGTGCCAAAAGAATTTCACATTTGCTCTTCGTTCTAACTTGCTTTCTATGATGAAATAGTAGACGTGGTAACGCATGTGGTCAAAATAGCCCCAGTTGCACAGCTCCCAATGTACACAGAACAATGTCTTTTGGCACACTGACTTATGAAGGTCGGTGCTCCCTGTGACTGAGTGTGCAGCCTTGTGCTGTTATCTGTTGGTATGTTGCAAAACTAGTCTCAAAAGTTTTTGATACCACCTTGTATTTCTCTATAGTTTATACTTATCTTAATCCAGAGCCCTAAGGAGTTAATTTACTAAAACTGGAGCGCCCAGGAGCTCTGAGAGTTAGGGGGTGGACAGCATCACACTGGTCTTCCCACAGAGAAAAGCTTGTCAGCACAAGTCTAATCTCTGGAAGAGAGCAGGTTGAATTCCCAGCACAATTGGAGAACCGACCACGCTGCCTAGTGTGGTCAGTTTTTAATAGGTAAGAAGAAGGACTGGTACATCATTTAGACAGCATTTCTCAGTTTCAGAAGGCAAGGGTTGGGTATCTGATGTCACACACTGCACAGCAGAGAGCTGAGTGTAACCTGAGACCTGAGTAGAGGGAATGGACCCACTACCCCTCTACACAGATCATAGGGAAATGTACACAGCTAAGGCTATCAACCACCTGCTGTGTCCTGGGGGGAAGCTATCTCCCAAGATTGTCTGGTGTCAGCATAGATTGTCAGAAGCAGGGGCGGACTGACAACTCATGGGGTCCCCGGGCAATAGGGGATCATGGGGCCCCTGTGTCCTTGCCCAAACTCAAAAAAGCCTATGAAATAGGTACCAGGGGCATCTCATGGGGCCCCCTACTGACCCCGGGCCCTCGGGTAGTGCCCAAGTTTCCAAATGGTCAGTCTGCCCCTGGTCAGAAGTGACTCATGCAGATAGCAGAGGAATGAGAAAGGAGGCAGAAATCACACTAGGTGCTTTGGATAGAGATAAGTACACATTATAGATATGTTTTTGTTTAAAGCGATATTAAACCCAAAACCAAAAATGTAATCTTTTGCAGCTTACCGAGCATTAGATGAGGTGGCTGCATTTGTTTTCTTTTTTTAATCTTCCTAACCCCCTTTGTTTTCACCTGGTGATCTGGCCAGTAACACACCTCCTGTATTAGGGCGTCCCCACTCTGGATGAAGGCGCATAAGGGCATCGTATTGTCAGTCTGGGGGGAGGGGAGTATTAGATGTACTAGCAGATTTAGATACACTAAAATAAAGGTTTTACATAAATAAATAAAAGCTGATCATTGTAAGCACCCGTGTCAGTGGTAAATGGTTTGTCCCCACTCTGTAACTGATACAGCTGCAGGACAGCTTGTTTTGTTGAAAAATAACAGAATTACTGGAAGGATCAGTAAATGAAAATAAAAGGCCTAAAGAATAAACCTAATTCAGACATCACATCTAAGAATTGGTAAGCTACAATATAATAAATGTTTGCTTTTAGGTTTAATCACGCTTGAAGTTTAATATGCTTATATTTTGCCTTCCATGGTATAGCCCAATTGTGATGCTGAGCCTCCATGATTGATTACTGGCCAGATCACCAGGGGAAAATAAAGGAAAGAAACTTAAAAGAGAAAACTAATGCAGCCATCATATCTAAGAATAGGTAAGCTAAAATATAATAAATGTCTGCTTTTGGGTTTAGTACCATTTTAGGACACAGTACAGCCAAACATTATGTATTTATTTAAATGTATTAATTAAAGCGGAGTTCCACCAAAAAGTGGAAGCTCCGCTTATTTTCCTCCCCCTCTCCCCCCCGCTCATCCACTGCCATATTTGGCACCTTTTGGGGGGTAGGGGGGAGCAGACACCTGGTTTTCACAGGTACCCGCTCCCACTTCTGGCTCAGGTCACCGTGGTGAAGTGAGCCAGAAGTTCGGCCCCTTCTTCCTCCCACAGTCTCCTGGGAACCTTTACAGGTCCCAGAAGACTGCCGGACCAATCAGGAGGTGCAGCGCAATTCACACATGCGCAGTGGGCACCAGGCTGTGAAGCCGCAAGCTGCCACAGCCTGGTGCCCACAGTTGAGATGGCAGCGACGTGGAGAGAAGAAGAAGAGAAGGGACGGCGCGGGTGAGCACATCGCTGGTCCCTTGGACAGGTAAGCGTGTTTATTAGAAGTCAGCAGCTACAGTTTTTGTAGTTGCTAACTTTTAATAAAACACAAAAAGGGCTGGAACTGCACTTTAATGATTTGAGATACACCCCAGTTGACTTTTTATTTTTGGCCTCTGGTTGTCCTGCTCACTGAATCCCTATGGTTGATTGTCCTCTGAACATCTATATGTGTGGGGGGGGCTGCACACAAAATTGTCCTGATGTTGGGGGAAATCAGTAGTGATCAGGCAAGATTTTCTAGACAGTAACCTGCAACATTGCTTTGCTGTTTAAAGTGTTACAAAACCCCAGACCCTGCATTCACTATATCTGGTCTCCCACAGTACACAACATGGAAATGCAATTATTTTAGTAAATATAAACTGCTAAATATCTTTTCCCATCAGCAGTTAGAACAGTCTTGTGACTTCTATCAGTGTCCAGCACAGCACTAGCTAAAGCTTGTAGGAGGAGTTTTCTTTCTGCTCTAGGAGGATGCAAAACCCCTGACCCTCTGTCTGGACAGCGCTGATTGTCCCTGTGCTGATCATAGCCAGGGGCGGACTGACCATTTGGAAACTCAGGCACTGCCCGAGGGCCCGGGGTCAGTAGGGGGCACCATGAGATGCCCCTGGTACCTTTTTGATAGTCTATTTTGAGTTTGGGCAAGGACACAGGGGCCCCATTAACCCCTATTGCCCAGGGGCCCCACGAGTTGTCACTCCACCCCTGATCATAGCACTCTTCCAAGAAAAAAAAAAAACCTCTGTAGCAATACACACTAAACTGAGCTTGTGCAGAAGGGCTACGGGTTCAGTCTGTCTTGTCAGCGTGTACATTTGAACAAGAGGAGGGACAGAGAAGACAGGTTAACAGCGTTTTTACACAATGCAGAGGATTAACCCCTTAGGTCCCACAGTGAGTATAACAAGCATGCTATACTGCATATACAGACTGATTTTACTGTTGTGGGTTTAGTAACACTTTAACATCCCTTGTTTAGGCTGTCAGGCATTGTCCCATAGCCATGGCATCATCACCCAAACCAGAAAAAATGGAACCTGTCATCTGTTGTCTATCGATACCCTTACAGATATGACCCCTGCTACACAGTACCTAAGGCTTTTGCAGCTGGTTTAAAAAAAAATAGCTAGAGACTACTGACCAGAATTATGACACCACAAAGGCACAAACTAGCCACAGTCACCAAAGGGTTAAACAAGATAATTAGCTTTGTACATGAAATATCTTCACTCATCTTTGTAAAGCCCCAAAATGATACAGAAAAGCTGATCTTCGAACTCGTGAACGTTAACATACATTTTCTGATCATCAACAGCAGCTCCTTAATGTAAAGCAATTAGTATTTTTGGTTCCCTGATCTTTAAATAAGCCAGACAGAGCCAGAGCCCAAAGTGATAGTTGTCACAGACAGCTGTCATATGTGAAATTGACCAGACAGCGGCTGCTGCAAGATAGAGGTAAAATTCCTCCTCTGCAAAGGGCTGTTAGTGTCAGAGAACACTTCCTGTGGCTCCAGTGAGTATAGATATGTTACCATACCACTTCTCGCCATCAAAGCTGGCTCTTGTTGCTGGAATTAGTTGAGACATGAGCGGAATGAGTGGCAGATCAACAGAACGCAGAGCCAGATACTTTGTTACAATCACGTGTGCATAAAGTGAGCACTTTGTAAAGTGATCCATATTTTTTGAATAGCCCAAATTTTAAAAGCTCCCTCTTAGAGCAGATTCCAACTTATGCATTTCCTTACCCAGAAACCCCCCTCTGTGTACTTCTCTGAAACCAGTTTTATTCTGAACTGACTTTAGGACTAAGACCCATTTACTGCAATTTCTCTGTATAGTTAGGGTTCTCTTTTGGCTGCTGAGGACTTTGGAAAAGAGGATGACAGTAGGCTTCAAAGTCAAGATCCTAGTTATAAAGTATATGGCCTGGAAGTGAGCGAAGCTAAGAGGAAGCCAGCATGACTGGGGTGAGCAGAAGAGGTGCCATTGTTCAGTGGGCTGGGCTGTTCATGAAAAAGTAATGTTACTTGCCTGATTGGATGGTTGGGAGATCAGCGGTGGTCCCTTAGAGGAGAGGGGGATGAACCTTGTTAGGCTTCAGTTGGAGCTTTTACCAGCATGGGTGAGGTTTCTCCCACCCTCCCTAGGACTTTCTGGTTTTATTCCCCCTTTTGTAGGTGTTTGATTCTTATTTTATTCTTACTTTGGAGTCCTATCATTTTCCTCACATGTCATAACAGCGAGCAGAGGTCTCTGGATCTTTAAGTGCTGTCTACAAATGTTGGAGGATTGTGGGTTGAGCCCATCTTAGATATGGGTGTCCCTTCCTAGCAATAGGTTATGTTGGTAAGATTAACTTTATTGGGTTGTATCTAGGAGTACAGAGGTGGTTCATTATCTCTGAGGCTGTAGGGGGTATTTTTACTGGGTGACAGATTTTTGGTTGGGTTTATAAGTGCCTTCAAAGACCTTAGACCTGGTGGATCAATTGCTGTTTATTGTATGTTATGCATTGATTGAACTATTCTTCAATGTTGTAATAAAGTGGTTGTAAAGGCTCAAGGTTTTTTAGCTTCATGCATTCTATGCCCCATCTCGATCCAACGATGTGCACAAGAGCAGCAGCTCTCCTGGGTCTCTTCCTTCTCATTGTCTGAGACAGCAGCGGGAACCATTGGCTCCCACTACTGTCAATCACAGCCAGTGAGCCAATGAGGAGAGGGGGTGGGGGTTGTGCCACACTTTCCGAGTGTGAATGCACACACAGAGCAGTGGTTGGGCAGTGAGCCTGCTCAGGTGCCCCCACAGCAAGCTGCTTCCTATGCGGGCACTTGGCAGAAGGGAGAGGCCAGAAGCACCGGCAGGGGAACTGAGAAGAGAAGGATCGGAGCTGCTCTGTGCAAAACTACTGCACAGAGCAGGTAAGTATGGTATGTTTGATATTTTTTTAAAATCTACGTTTAATATCACTTTAAATTGTATTTGTTGTGTTAAAATAAAGGGCTGCTAGGCCATTCAGCTCCAATTTGGATATTTGTCCCTTCGTCATTTGGGATGGGGGAGTTGTATTTGGAATTATTACGTTTGAGATAAATGAGCCTCGGTACTTTGTTAGGGTTATTTCACCATAGCATTGCTGTCACTGGTGCCAACTAGTGATGGGTGAATCTGGCAGGTTAAATTCTGTCTAGGCTGTTCTAAACTGGAACCCCAATCTTCTGCATAACTACCTCTGCGTGACGGAGCAGCCTAATACGGTGTATACATCCCAAATGAAGGAATCTTCTCTGGCTCTGTCAATGTCTGTGCAGTATCTCCTCATAGACTTGAATGGGGCAGAACTCCTAACTTCTCTACTGTACGAGTCAGCTCCATTTATGTCTATTGAGATTACTGCGCAGGGGCGGCTGCTGTGGCAGATGGCGTGTGAACATTGATGGAGGCTGCTGCCATTACAGGGAGGTAAGCATGCACCAGAATTAATTGGGGATTGGAGGCTTTAGGTTAGATTATTTTATAGGGGAGGGGGGCTGGGAGCTTTTAAAGAGAAAATTAAAGCAGAACTAAAGAAAAACTTTTTTCTCATTTTGGTTAGAGTAAAAACCCACTGTAAGGTTTATTTTCTTTTATTTTTTTTTTGCCATCTGTGTCCTATTGGGGAGAGTAACCTTCACATCCTGTTTCATCACCAAAATAGGAAGTGAGATGAAATCCCTCCAAAGTTAGGAAATCCCTGGTTGTCACCAGAACTAATGTCGCAGTTGGAAGGTTCCCCTCTATTCCTAGCGATAATGGTAAGCAAGACAAATAGAAAGGATGAAGACATAAAAAAACAGATGTTCTCTAATCCCTCTCCACCCTATCCAAAATTAGTTTTCCCTTAATTTATACTTTAAGTTCTACTTTAAAGTAGAGCTTCACCCTACTCTACAACTTTTGGAACATTACATTTTTTGGGGAGCTGGTAGCTAGTTTTGATAGGCTCCCACTTCCACTCAGATCGTCTAGGCAATCGAAGCAAATGTTCGGGTTCCCTCATCTGCTCGCAGTCTCTTGGAACACATCACAGGTCCCAGAAGGCTGCGGACCATTCACAAAGTGCAGTGCGGCTCATGCATGCACAGTGGATGCACAGTGGGAAGCTGTGAAGGAGTCACAGCCGGCTTCACACACTAAAGATGCCAGCGGCAGGGACCCAAAGACCAATAAAGAACAGGCCCGTGTGTGGATGGCTCTGGATCCTTGGACAGGAAAGGGTCCTTTTATTAAAATTCATTAGCTACAATATCTGTAGCTGCTGACTTTAATTTTTTTGGTTCCTAGGGTAAAGATCCTCTTTAAAGTGGAACTGCACCGCATCTAAGCACCACAAACCAAAAATGCTATTTAATTTATTTGTTAATATTCAAAGCAAACTCCCCTATCCATCCATGTCTCCATGCTTTATTTTGCTGAGAAATCATTTTGAAAAACACCCCCTGGTATTTCTGGCAGAGGCCATCTTGAGTAAGGGCAGATGATTCATGTAACATTTACTTCCTGGAATCTATCTGCCCTTGGCTCAGGCACTGGCTGAGTTGAGAACCTTCCCTCCCCTCCTGAAGGCTCCTGGGATGTGCAACATAATTTGCCTAGGCATGGAAACCAGGAAAGAAATGTAAAAAAAAAGTTTAAAACAGTAAATATTATATACTTTCCTATCCATCAACTAATGCTAGCTGCATAAGGATTAAAAATAGTTAATGTTAACTAAGAGAGTGAAGTTACACTTAAGTAACTATTTTTTGTCCATATTTTTTGTATGACGGAATCCAGGACCAACTGGTAGGTCCTCTTTAATAATGATGTATGAAGCTCTATGGCCACCTACATTGCAGCACACCAGAATTCTGAGCTAAAAATATACACTGTATATCATCCTATATATATTTTATACTCTTTAGATTTCTAAATATACTTAACCAGATTCATTAGCACCTTTGTTTGCTCATTGCCATTTTTTCTATGTATGAAATATTTTCATTTGCCTCCAGTGTGGAATTTTGGTTCCTTCTTCATTCATTTTAAGAGCTAATATTTAGGTAAGCCCATACATTAGAAACATATCAGCGCAGAAGATTCTGCCCTTTCCGTGATAAAGTGCTGATCTGCGGCCGAGCCTGGGAATAAATTGCTCCAATTATAAGCTACTGGATTTTGTTGTTTTGACTTTCTGACTTGCCCGGCTTCTTCCATGAATTAAGCACGATGGCACAATAGGGAACTGTATTTTTTACAGTTACACGTTGAATCCTTTTTCCTTTCAACTAGGAAATGTTTGACACAGTTATGAATGAAGTTTACTTATTAAGGACCACAAATTATTCCTGGTTTACAGAGATTTTTTTCAAAGAGGGAGAAATTACACAGAGGGTGTATAGAAGAGGTCGAGGGGTGCACAATGGATACATTTAGCTATGACTGGGAAGGTTTGCTTTGATGCTCATATTTCCATGTTTGAAGTTCTGCTCAAGAAGTGCAACGCTGAGTTATTTTACAATAGCTCCTCTTCTAGGGTAGATGAGGCGGTAGAGCTACAAAGAGGTGCAGGAATGATCCTTTTACTTTTCTGTCTCTATTTATTAAAATAAAAAAATACATTAGTATTTCATAATTGTCAGTAGGTAATGTTATATACACTATGTTGATAAAAGTATTGGGACACCTGCCTTTACACACACATGGACTTTAATGGCATCCCAGTCTTAGTCCGTAGGGTTCAATATTGAGTTGGCCCACCCTATAACAGCTTCAACTCTTCTGGGAAGGCTGTCCACAAGGTTTAGGAGTGTCTATGGGAATCTTTGACCATTCTTCCAGAAGTGCATTTGTGAGGTCAGGCACTGATGTTGAATGAGAATGCCTGGCTCGCAGTCTCCTCTCTAATTCATCCCAAAGGTGTTCTATAGGGGAGGTTGAGGTCAGGACTCTGTGTAGGCCAGTCAAGTTCCTCCACCCCAAACTCACTCATCCACGTCTTTATGGACCTTGCTTTGTGCACTGGTGTGCAGTCATGTTGGAACAGGAAGGGGCCATTCACAAACTGTTCCCACAAAGCTGGGAGCATGAAATTGTCCAAAATGTCTTGGTATGCTGATGCCTTAAAAGGTCCCTTCACTGGAACTTACACAATGCACAATGCAGTCAGGCAAGTACCGTTGTCAGGGCTCCCGGGTATGACCAGAGGTGTGTGACTGACGCAGGGAAACGCAGACTTCAGATAAGTTATAAACAATTTATTAACACTAACAATACAAACATAAACGCAGTGCAATACTAAAACATAACACAGTGCAAACAAACCAAACCTAACCACCCACAGATAACAGTACATACAGTGCAAGCGTCAGGCAGGCCGGGTCAATATCAATCGGGCAGGTAGGTACAGGGGGAGCAAGCGGAGAATAGTCAGGTCACGAGCAGGGTACAGCAACTAACAGGCAGGTAGGTACAGGGGGTCAGGCAGAGAATGGTCAGGGTCACAAGCCAGGGATCAGAACAGGAGAAGTCAGCAGAGGTCAGAATCAAGCCGGGTCAGCAACAAGCAGGAACAGGAGCAGGATGCAGGAACAAGATACAGGGCCCAGGAAAAAAACACAACACCAAGGCAGAGTCTGCAGGTCTGAATGTCCCTTAAATACACCAGTATAATTAGTTCCAGGTGTTTGACTGGCTGCAAGGTTGAGTCTCTGATTGCTGGGAGCACCCGCTGGCCAGCCCTGGTACTGCAGCTCACAAGGCAGGTGAGTCCCACTATTGCTGGCCAGTCCATTCCTGACAACCGTTCTCCTGATAACTGCCAAACCCAGACACGTCCATTGAATTGCCAGACAGAGAAACGTGATTTGTCACTCCAGAGAACACGTCTCCACTGCTCTAGAGTCCAGTGGTAGTGTGCTTTACACCACTGCATCCGACACTTTGCTTTGCTTTTGTTGATGTAAGGCTTGGATGCAGCTGCTCGGCCATGGAAACCCATTCCATGAAGCTCTCTATGCACTGTTGTTGTGCTAATCTGAAGGCTACATGAAGTTTGGAGGTCTTTAGCCATTGACTGATTTTACGTGGCCTACCACTTCGTGGCTGAGTTGCTGTTATTCCCAGTTGCTTCCACTTTGTTATAATCCCACTAACAGTTGACCGTGGGATATTTAGTAGCAAGGAAAATCCACAGATGGACTTATTGCACAGGTGGCAACCTATCATGGTATTGAATTTACTGAGAGCGCCCCAATCTTTCACAAATGTTTTTAGAAGCAGTCTGCATACCTAGGTGCTTGATTTTATACACCTGAGGCCATGTCGCTGCCTACTTCCAGTTTTCGGGCGTGCACATGAGCCCCCCCCCCTCCCCTTTCCCGCCAGCACTCACAAATCAACTTCTGCACAACCAGCCAGCTGGAAAATTTCAGCATGATCAGTGTTGCTGGTCATAGCCAGCAGTGCTGATCAGTGTATGCTGACAGCAGGGAAGTCTCCCTGAAATACTAAGGCTCAGTGAGAGTGATTCCCCCATTCACCTCGAGTGTGTGGATAGGAAAATCAAGTCACTTTTTTTGTTCAGCTCGCTGGTTGAATAAAAAAACTTGACTCATCTATGGACTGCTTAAAGCTGGACATACACCAGCAGAAGTTCGCTCAAACGTTTGTGCGGAAATTCTAAAAAATTGTTCATCATAGCATTCAATCTTGCTATCAGCTGATTCTGTTTGAAAGCCCTTCAAAGTTTGTCCACACCTGCTACTTGAATGGAATTCCAAACATATTAATTAGGTTGCTCTTGTGGCCAGAACATTTGTGTCTGCAATATCTATGATTTTTCTTGAATGAAAACCACATTCACAGTTAGAATTTCTTCTACCAGAGAAAGATTTTCCATTCTGTCCCTTTACATTTTCCCATCACTATGAAAATGACTGTTGATTTTCTATTAGTAGGGTCAAATCAATAAACATTCTAAAATCAAATATTTTCAAACAAAACTCTACCAGAGTATGGCATGCTTGAAGCTGAATTTTAAAAATAAATCTCTACAGCTTTAGTCACATCACTGTAATAAAGCATGTCCTGTGTTGTACAGACAGCTGGATCCTGTAGAAATCTTAATTTCAGGGATGCATTTTCTCTTCTTGGCTCTGAACATCCAGTAATGCAATAGTTACCAGCTTTGGAGCTTCAGACAGAACAGCACTACAGATGGTCCAACTGAGACACGCCCTCCTTCCTCTTCCTCCACTGAAAAAGTTATTTCACTGATTACACTGCTTTTAATGTGATCTGTAAATGGGGGAGAGAATCATATAAACTGATCAGATCTTCCACATTCACAGATTTTGTAACAAGCAGAAAGAAATTTTCTCAGTTGAGGAGGAGGGAGAACTGGGCCCATCAGATCATCTGTATTGCTGTTCTGCCTGAAGATCTGAAGCTATTAACCATTGCAGTATCAGATATTCAGAGACAGGAAGAGGACAGGGCATCCCTGCAGAGAAGATTTCTGCAGAACCTAGCTGTCTGTACAATGTGGGACATACTTCATTATAGTGATGTAAATAAGCTGTAGATGTAACCACAGCTGTAGGGAGCTTGTGTGTGCAAGTAGGGATTTGGGGCTGTATGCCAGAGGGAAGATAGCACCTGCTAAGTAGAGGAACACTTTTTGGAAGAGTGAGAAGTTCTGATACTATTGTAGGCACTTGGTCATTGACACTATCAAATGGATAACATTTTCTCAGTTCCCATTGCTGTGCTGGCTTCCTCCATACAGGATTGGGTGGGTATGTAAACGGTGCACACTTAATGCCAACCTGGGCTCAGAGAAAGTGGGTTGAATGATGCTGACTGCCTTGTAGCCCAGAAGATTGGCAGCATCTTGTGGCAGAAATGGATTACTGCAGGGCCAGCTCCAAATTGAAGGTAAGTTTTTATTTTTACTTTTATTCGTCTACTCAGTTTATTTATTTTTTATTTTTGAGTTCTGCTTTAACCGCTTCCCAACTGCCCTATAGCAGAAGTACTGCTACAGGGCGGCAGGGATGCGCAAAATCACATACATATACATGATTTTGCATTTCCAGGTACGGGGTTCATTCAAATCTTGGCCGGGACTCAGTGATCACCAGTGGAGCTGACAGGGGAGAGGTCTGTATGTAAGCAACACAGATCTCTCCCCTGTCAGAATGAAAGAAAATTAAAGTATTTAACATGTTGATATAACTTTAAAAGTATTTTCGTCAAATCTATAGCCATTATTAAAATACTACTTGGTGAAGGTCCTTGTTCTTGCTATAGGGCAGTGTTTCTCAATTCCAGTCCTCATGGACCCCCAATATGTCATGTTTTCAGGATTTCCATTATTTTGCACAGGTGATTTGATCAGTTTCACTGCCTTAGTAATTACCACAGCTGTTTCATCTGAGGGAAATCCTGAAAACATGACCTGTTGGGGGTCCATGAGGACTGGAGTTGAGAAACACTGCTATAGGGTGACAAGGCTCTGCCCCGTCTCCAATTTGTGCTCCTGTGTTGAGTCACCAGTGTAAACTACAACTACATTACACAGGCATGATCCACGGTTGTCACCATCGGGAAATGTCATTCAGCCTATTAATGAAGTGCATGTAGACAGGAATTGGTTGTAGAGAGGCTGCATGAGATCAGAAGCACTGAAATGCAATAAAGGTTTAAAAAAAAAAAAATTGCATACAATATTTTATCTTTAAAAAATGTCTAGTAAATATTACAGTTTCCATCTACTTTAAGGGTCAGTCCACCCAAAACTGTATTTTTTTAGGTTTTAGGTAAACTAACACTTTAAAACCATGACCACTTCAGTCTAAATATTATTTTCTCCAAACATTTACAAAAAGATAACGTAAAAAACTCTATAATTAAACAAAGTATATTTCCTATTAAGTAGTGTTTAAAGCAAAGACACAGATTTGTTACTCACATTGACAATAACGAAGCTGTGTCACTGCAGTGTTTACAAGAGCGCGGGATCCCCAATAAATAAACTTTATTTTGTTTAACTCTGAAAATCTCGCTGTAGTTCCGATCTGCATCGGAGGCTGAATATTTTCTGTAGCCTTTAACTAAACAATCTTGTAACCAGCAACTGACAACTAAAGTATGTTAAACCAAGGTCCACTTTTTTCATCAATTGTATATACCGCAGTACACAAAACGCTCAAAACACGGCTGACATTACATCTATACCGGGGAAATCTGGGAGTCTTCAAATCTTATCAAAAATAGTTCAAGTCATGTTTGGAAAGAATGATTGCAATACAAATAAACTGAAAACAACTATAATAACAGTTGGTAGTATAGTGCTACTGGTAGTAGTAGAAGCAATAGCAGTTGTTGTAGTAGTAGAAGTAGTAGCAGCAGCAATAGAGGTAGTAGTAATTGTAGTAGTAGTAGCAGCAGAGGTATGTAGCATGTAGGTGAGGCCTAGTTCTAATCAGAGAGAGACTACACCAGTCCTTAAAGTGGTTCTAAGGACAAGAGGTGTTTTACCTTAAAGTGGTAGTAAACCCTTCCTGAATAATTTTACATACAGGTAAAGTTATAATACAGTTTACCTCTTGTCACGTACCTGGTGGGGGTGCCTGACGTGCAGATGAGGGCATCCTCTCTCACCTCCTGCTTGGTACTTCTGATAGAGAAGACAGACAGCACGAGAGCCAGGAGTGGCACCAGTGCCGGGCAAATCTGTGATGTCAGCTGACAATGGGTAGTCCGGATGATCAGGATGCAGGTCAGTTGCGGATGTACACTAGTGGCCAAAATTGTGGATACACCTTACATTTTTACACTTTTGCAGTTTAAAGTACTTTTTATGTAAATATCTCTAAAAATGTCATAGCAAAAGTAAAATTTAATATAGTAAATTAATGCCTTAACAAAAAGTTTTTTTAAATAAGTTAAATTTTGGCTGGAAATGTACCATATGATGCCCAGAATTGATTATTACATGGTCTCGATCAAGAATCCAAGCAACAAGCGAGGACTCATTGAGGCTAGCCTCACTTGTTGCTTGGATTCTTGCTTGAGACCATGTGTTTCAATCTTGACCACAGATTTTTGATGGGATTCAAGTCAGGGCTATTTCCAGGCCAAGGAAGCAGAGAAATGTTCTTGTCATTGAACCATTTAAGGCATTTACGAGCTACATGGCATGGAGCTCCATCCTGCTGAAAAATAAATTCTGTGCCTTTGTCCGATAAGTCGCTTATTGATGGGATCAATTTTGGTTCCAGGACCTCTTTGATGTATCACTCTGCATTAATAATGCCATCAAAACTGCATTCGTCCAACACCATACCAAGACATGCAGCTCCATATCATGATGCTTTAAGGGTGTTTCATTGTTGCTGTCATGCACTCAGGAAGGCATTCTTCGCCTGACCTTCTTCGCACGTATCAGACACCATCGCTTCTAAAAATAGAAATTTGTGTTTCATCTCTCCAAATAATTTTTTTCCAATCTTCTGTTGTCCAATTTTGATGTTCCTTGACCCATTCAACTCTTTTCTTTCTTTGTTGGCAGTTCAAAAACAAGGGAGCAAGTAAAGATATCAACCAAAGCTGACAAAATCAGAAGGTGTATTCACAATTTTGGCCACTAGTGTAGGTGAGCGGAGGATGCAGGTAGCAGGAACAGCGGCTGGAAAGTTTCTAGCTGGACCTCGGTTACAAGGCACAGGCTGGAGAAGAAGCAGAGTCAGGATCTATCAAGTGGATCAGGTACAGGGAGCAGGCAAGCGGATAGTCGAAGTTCAGGCCAGAATCAGTAACCATAGGTAGATAGCAGGGGGAGCAGGCAAGGCATAGTCAGGATCAAGCTGGGTCGGTGAAGGTGGAGTTCAAGCGAAGTCAAGACAGGTCAGGTTGGCAACAGGATCAGGATACGACAAACAGCAGATCAGGGAACATGGTAGACCAGAAGGCAAGGATTCCTAGTGCAGCAGCAGTTTAAATAGCCCGCCTGGCACCAGTCCGGCGGCGAGTGCGCACACTGGTGCACGCTCGCAC